TCTGCCAGAGTTGCTTCGGATGAGAACTCTGCTGCCCCGAGGGTAGGGTCACCATCAAGGCGTCCGAGGTTTGGCATCAAAGTGGTGAATGGGTAATTGGCTATCTCTGGTTTTGCAAGTGTAATGGCTGCCAACAGAGTTGATTTCCCAGCATTTGGAAGTCCCTGAAAAGTGAAAATATTTGTTGTTGAAAAGAGAAAATGATGACGATTAGTACTTATTAATGTTACCCCACGGTTATTTTTATGTCATAATATGACTCCTAGTATGGCCCTCAAATTGCCGGTGTCAATAATATGACACTCAAGCTGGATGTCAAAATAAACTAGCCCTTAATATTAATGATAGGATGCTTACAATAAGACCAACATCAGCAACCACTCTTAGTATTAACTGCAAGCTCACTTCCTCTCCAGGCTGGCCAAGAACCAAAACCTGTAATATAGCAAGAATAGATATCATGCTCATGCATACAACCAAAGTGTAAAAGACACCACTTTGGCTTCATCTTACCTTATCCTTTTCATCTCTCATCACATTTGTGGTTAAATTTATCATTTTTTTCCTTCGGTGCTCTGGGATTTCTAACAAGCTAATCTGCCAAAAGGAAAGCAGTCAAGTAAAAAAAGTAATGCTCCGTAATTAAAATAAACGGTAAAAGCTGAAGTGTATCAGCCTCCATCAGTTTGTGTGTTTCTTTTAGAGTTTTTTTTACTAAATACTGTGCCCATGCACATATACTCCGGAATAAGAAGCAAACGAGGCTTATTGTTTTCATAATTATGCTTGACAATGATTATAAAGGTACAATTTTTAGTGATAATTAAATTGAATTTTCAATTCACAATAATTTGTTCCTGGTAATTATCATTTCTTTTAAAGAAACTTGAAAACGAAGCACTTTAGTTGTTTCTTATCATGTGTCCATGAGCACAAAACACACATTCACGAATTAAAAGTGTCACATTCAAGGCATTGAACTTATGTTGGAAGATTTTTCTTACCCCTCCTTGACCACCCCTTGCAACAAGAACTTCATCGCCTGGACGGGTTAGATCAGCCAGCAGCTTTCCCCTTTTATGCTTAACAACTGTGCCTGTGAATGGGCTTATAAGATTCAACAGAAAAAAGAGACAAAGTGCAAGTCTATGGTTACTCAGATCTCATATGCTATTAATGGGAGATGGGGTTTTGACAGATTCAAAGAGGATGGGGAGTCAAAGGTTATTTTAAATTAAAAGAATTATATATAGTTTGAAAAATATGACTATAATCATATGATGTGAGTTTATACTACTCCCTCCGTTTTTTAAAACCATTCCTATTTTGACTTTAGGCCAAAATAAGGAGTGTATATTTGTGGTTGACTTCCAATTTTTTCCTTGATGTGATGGGTGGATTCTTATTGAATAAATATGATCTGATAAGTAGAATAAGAAAATGTGAGGGTAAAAGTGGTTTTTTAATAGAAAGTGGAGGTGTTTTGGTGAAAGAGAAAAAAATGAAAGAGGAAGTATTTTAAAAAATGGAGGGAGTAATTTATCATTTTGTATCCATGTTCTGAAATATTAGCAAGTTAAAATGAAAAATAACCATTCTCTCCTCTTGCCCTCCAAACCCCTTCAAAACCCACCCCAAACAAAGCTTTAGGGTCAGTTTGGATCCAGAGTTTGGGATGGACGAGTTTTAAGGTGCCAATTCTACATCTACATATAGATACGAGAATTATTTAAAAACTGGAGTAAGAACATAATAGTTGATCACACAATCCATTTTTAGAAACATTTTATTTATCTAGATGCTCCGTATATATTAAGCCCATCAAAGTGTTCTCCTAAAAAATCCTCCACCCAAACAGACCGACCCTTTATCGTGTTAAGGCGAGAGAGATGAAGTGAGACAAACCTACAGGGACAGGAATACGCAGTGTGGGTGCAGCTAGTCCATCATGCAAATGAGAAGTCAGCAATCCCATGGCATCAACATTTCCCCCACGCTTTGCATTATGCCTACTCTTGTTGTGGAACTCCAATAGCGTATCTTTGCTCTCATCTGCATAAATCACCACATCACCGCCATGACCCCCCATTGGAAGGACAAGTGAGCCGTCGAAATCCCTTTTATAAGAAGTTTTCTTCTTCATCTTCTCCTTGTTGAGCTTTCCACTTGACTTGGAAGGTGATGTCTGGTTTGGCATACTAAGAACTGCACCATGACCGCCATCTCCAGAGCGGACTGTGATGATGACTTCATCAAAGTATTTATGTGGTTCTCTTATTAATGAGTGACACTGGGAAGGAGAGGGGTTTTTAGCTTTAGCAAGTGTGCACCTGAGAATATAGAATCTGTGGTTCTGGTTGCATTCCCTTTTCTGGGAAAGTCTGTCCAAAAAGAAGGGTGACATAAGATTGCAAGAGAAAGGAATAATTTCTTGATCGAAAGAATATATTAACCTCAAGAACTTCTTTGCAGAGTTTAAAACGAAAGCAACTAAAGACAAGCCAATCTCCATGAATTGATCTCCCCTCCCCTAGGGTAGTTTAATATAACAAGGGGAATCTTCCCTAACCTCCCTCTGTACCTAAAACACCCTTGGAGAGCAGCATTTTGTCACAAAATGTTTCTCCATTGGCACTATTGTACCTTATTACTACTATGGTTTGCTAAGTTTCATGTAAAGATCACTAATTTCAACAAACATGAGTGCGACAACGACCTATCCAGTAAAACTCCACAACTGGGGTCTAGAGGGTACCCCTAGCCAGAGAAGTTTCTGAAAGATGCCGGCTCAAGAACAAAATACACATGGTACATCGATAAAATAGTGGAAAAGGAAAAAACAATTTACAAGCAAAAAGAAACAAAGCAAACACTCTAATATGCCTAGCTAACCCAACGGGACCTAAACACACAAAGAACCACTCTAATCTAAGTATGGCCTACAAATTTAGTCCCCGGCCTCCAAACGCTCTTATCTAAGATCATGTCCTCTGTGAGTTCAAGGCATTCTCATATACACTCCATTCTCTTCGGGTGAAATTAACTTAAATGAAAGTTGTAATTTCAATTGAAAATTTGGTACACTTGACATATCTTAACTTAATAGGCAGCACAAAACAAGAAACTACCAAGCAAACCCAATGTAATGAACAGGCAGCACGATTAACACAGCAAAAATGGGTTTTATTTTCCATTCTCAACGAGAATATTTGCAGCAGCTCAAATCCCAAAATTCGGAAGCCTGTTTGATTGGGAGAAAGAGAGGAATGAGCAAGTACTGAAAGCCCACCTGTTTGGAAGGCGGAGAAGATGGTGGGAAAAATGAAAGATTGGTTCTTTAGGAGTGGGAGCAGAGAGTGAAGAACCGTAAAAGTTTAGGTTAATGAGAGGAGATTTGAAGCACGGCATTCCTTCTTCAGTTTCAGAGTTCGGGTCCTAGCTCTATTCTTGATTTGGTTTCCTGATACCTTGTAGATGGAGGGCATAGTCGAGTTTGGTTCGGATAGGGTGCAAGGTTCAATTGGGCAGAGTTTAGGGTGGGAGCAACATTTTGTGGCTAATTTGAGAGATATAAGACTTGGCAAAAGAGCACTGTGAAGAGATTATTCGAATACAATGATTCAAAACTAAAACGGAAATGACGTGAAGATCCGGTTTATAATTGAAAACCGAATTTATGTGAATCAAATTGAGACTGAATTAAACATATCCGTTTTAAATTCAAAACCAATTAGATCCAATGTATTAATTCGAAACCAAAAAGATTTGAAATCGGTAATATCCAAAAATCGATAAGACCTAAAACTGATAAGATCTGAAATCGATAAGATCACTTATCAATCTTACAAATATGATCTTTACATGATCATTTTTCAAAAAATGACACTATTTGACCACAAATTATGAAAAGAATATATTTAATTTTAATGTAATTCAATATAATTGGATTCATCTTAGGATATAGTTTTGATATATCAAATTTTTATAATATTTACTTATTTAAATTATATTTAATTTATGTTCAAGGAATGTCATCGTTTAACAAATAAAAGTCAAAACTTAAAAGGTTTTTCGGGACAGGTTTAGTATTTTATATAACTACTCCCACCGTTTCGAATTAAGTTGTCTGTTTACTATTCACATGGTCAAACTTCATTCACATTCTTTCTCTATTTTCATTTATCGTTTGATAAAATAATATAATCGTGTCACCATTAGTTTTGTTCTATATCTTAAAATAATATAATCTTGTCATTTGACAAAATTACTACTCTTGAAGGAAACAATATAGGAGTAGTTTCCTTTCCACATTTTTTAGGTTTCTCATGTTTTTTTAATGAGAGCACTAACTTCTTGTTCTCCCTATTCTTGTTGTTGTTGTTCTTCTTCTTCTTCTTAACTTCTGGAGTTGAATGAAGGGTTGAAGGAGTCAGGGCTGTTTTACTGGTGTTGATAGAGGTAATTGCAGTTTTAATTTTTTTTTTTGGGATGTTTTGTATTTGCAGTGAATTGGACTAATCTCCTGCATTTTGGTTATATAGACTAATGGAGATTTTACTTTTGGTGTAATGGAGGGAAGTTCTTCTCCAAGACAATGATATGAAGTTTCTATAGATTTGATAAGCATAATGATTTGTTTGGTGTTTGTATGGTGTTTGTGCATGTGTTAAAAGGTATGGGGTAATTTTTTAGTGTTCACTTCATTTTTAGCTTCAAAACTCAAAAAAATAAGTGAAGGGGCAATTTTGGAAAATCAACACCATTTTTTTCCTTCTTTATATATGTCCCAAAGTCAAAACGGACACTATAAATCGGGACGGAGGGAGTAGATTTTTTTTTAAATTTTTACACTATATATTGAGAAAAAAAAGATTGATCAGGGGAGGGTGCCCCCACTATATATTGACAAAGCTAATGTTGGAGATGAATGGAACACAACATAAGCACAATATAAGCTTACAAAATCGATGTAGAAGAACAAATTCATCTCTGACAGAATATAATTCAAAGAATTTTTGTTATTTTACCATATTTCATAACTTTGAATTCTTTTGAAGTGGGAGTAACACTTTGGTCCTCAAGGGTAAAATGAAACTAACCATATGACTATATATGGCAAAAAAAAAAAAGAAGAAGGTTGGGAGTAAGTTCAAAAGAAAGTAGACTAACATATCATTTGCACATAAAATTATAAATTGGTATGTGGTATCTCTGTGTATAAAACTGGAGACTGAACAGTTCTTCTACACCAAGAACTCCTGCAAAAACCAGGAATGTATATATATATCTATCGGATCGATATGGCCACATTTGGATGGGTTTGGATTGAATCAGAAAACCGTCCGTTTCACTAACGAAATCTTCGACATGTCGCCCTTTCCCCCAACTTCTTGGAATATGACCAACAGATTCTGTGTTGGTTTCAACCAAGACCTTGGGACATGATACCTGTGCAGTGGCATTATGCAAAAGTCCAGTGTTTAGTATTGTGTAGGATGATGATGGGTATATGGGAATAAGGGCAGAAGTGGAATTTACCATCTCTGATTCAGCTTATTGCCACACCCTTGTTGGCATTTTGGGACATTGAATGTCCCATTGTATGAACAGCCATGCACACACTTTCCACCCTTCACATGCAGTGACCAAAATCTCCCTATACTTTCCCCATTTACCCATACCTGTCCCTTCCCCATGCCTCTCATGTCAAAAGCCAAAGGCTCACTTCCACCTGGTGCATCAAAATAAGCCTGGAACCAGTTCAGTTGTTGGGTGACCAGAGAGGATGACCCTCCGGTCCAATGGACCGACGAGACACCCTTTGGAGAGAACAAGTTCATTGATTCTCCCCTCATTCCAACCTGCATTTTTAAACATCTTTCAAATACGCTTCTCTTGTAAACAAGCTGCAGGTTTAAAGAATTGCGCGATTCGTTTTTACCCGGTATTTCCATGTTTGCCATGAGAGATCCTTGTTTCCCTGGTTTAGACCTTTGAGAATAACTGGTCCCAGGATTCCCTTGGGCCGGTCCTCAAAGCCGTTCCCAATATTCTTTGATATTCCATAAAGAAAAAAAGGAAAACAAAATAAACAAAAGGTCATTAATTTTCCATATAAGTGACTGAAAAAACTTGGTTGATTTTAAAGAATGAAAAAAAAAAACTTACTGGAAGTCCCATAGCTAAACTTAGTAAGGCAATCTCATTTTTGCCAGCCTTTAGTTCAATTTGTCCAGTAAATGTGAATCTCTTTGACTCTGAGTTACCATATGAAGATCCTGAAATTGGCAGCAGGAAATGAATCAAAAACCCATTGCTATATTCTTTTTTTTGAGATTTTTTTAACACATTTTTCTATTTATAACAAAAAAAGAATATCTGCCACAATATAGTACCTGAAAACTTTCCATTAACAAATACATGTACTCCATCCCCTCTTGAATTGACGATTAACGTGAGCTTTTCTCCTTTTTGTAAGAATGTTTCGGATGAATTAATATCAACACTGCATTTTTTGTGACAAAAGAAGAATTATGTAATAACATGTCATTTAATTCCATGTGTTAGTCCATGGAATCAGAATGAAGCACTGACCTTGTTATATACCACAAATAGTCACTAGTGTCCTTGGTCAGGCTGATCTGGTCCAAGAGTTTATTAGCTGTGGGCATTGAACTGTCCTCCAAAGCTGGTATGTCTTCATGATAAGTTGCCCATGAATGCAGCTGAGAGTTACTTGGTAACATTTTTGTCCGCGAAGTGCGGGTCCCGACCTTAACAGCAATTTAACTTCCCGGTGAAAAAAGTGCAAAGATGATATGTGTGACAAAGGGTCCTTTTGGAACCACAGAAATTGCTATGAGAAGAAAATGGGGAGGCAAAAAGACCCAATTAAGCTGCCCACTTGGGGATGGATTGAAGACTTACTTTTGCAGTGTTGAAGACAACATTGTAGCAGTCAGGTAGTATGCTAACAGACCAAGGGGGCAGCGTATATTTCTTCCCCTTAAAAGTTACTGTCGCTTCATATTCGCTATCTAAGTTTGACAGAAAGGCAGCACATTTTCCTTTCCCATATGAGAAAACACTTGCCTGCAATAAATACAGAAATTACTTCACTGATGAGTTTAGCAAAGCTAATCGATACACATATCCAAATCTGTAAAGCTTTTTCACCTGTTGAGATTTCCCCAGCTTAATAACTTCAGGAACTGATGATACTAGAGCTTGTTCACATTGTTTAATCGCTTTATGAAGCTCGGCTAAATGTCCATACTTAGGTTGTCTTATCAGCCCTGAATTTTTTTGTCATGAAGTGATTGAGATCATAAGGCCATTTAGTAACAACTTTTGACATTACAAACTTGCTGCTCGTGTATTAAGGCGCAGTTTGGTAAGATGCAATGAAATGGTATCAAACATGTGCTTGATAATGGTCACATTACAAGTTATTATGGTCGGGCAAACAGACCCTTACCGTATTCATCAAGCGGAGCATCATAGTCATAACTGGTTGTTATGAAAGGACCACCCGCACTGCGACCAAAGTTTGTTCCTCCATGGTACTATCACAAAATGGACATTGATCACCACTTTATTAGCATGTATTCATTTGAATTCTATTGTGTCATTATGTTATGGGGGTAGAGTTGTCATTTTCAAGTTTAGTTTCTTTTTCTTTGAAGCCTTACCATATAATAGTTAACAAATGAGCCACCCTTCGCTATGAAACGAGCAACTGCAAAAGCTAAATCTTCAACCGGACGCCTTGGGATTGGGCCTCCAAATTCCATGAACCTAATCATTTTTTACAGAGATTAAGAATTAATCATTCATTCCTCATAAAATCAAATTTAAAAATGTGTCTCACAGACAAATGTGGCTCAATCTGCATATCAGCAGAATAAATGGCTTAAACATTTCTTTTTCTCAAAGACAACCGACTCAACCATTTCATTTTAGAAAAATAACTTTCACCAAACAGGGTTAATATAAAAACGAATGAATTATTTAAGCCTAATCTCCAGGAGATTACTGAGGCGGGCGCTAAACCATTTCTTATATTAACAATGAAGCAGATCATACCAGCCGCTCCAAGCTTCGGTCCACATTTTAGGCTTGTAGGCTTTGTTTGGAGAAAAATAATCACAATAGAAGCCATTGCATGTATTTATCTGCTTGATGAATATAAAAACAAAGAAAAAAAGTGCATTATTAGAAACAAAATTTATGTGTCTCTTAATTATTATCTAATATTTCAGAAAATGAATGACTCATAAGAAGAAAGAAAGACAACTCACAATCGGATCGGGGGCATCGGATTCTTTGCACATGATCCATGGCACTCCTGTGTTCAGCCCAACTGCCATTTCTGCAGTCCAATCAATATATGCCTTCTCAACTCCTACATGAGCCTTACTTTCTGAACCATACTCATTCTCAATCTACCAAAAGCAGGAAAATTACTTATTCTTGGAATGCAATTAACATTTTTTTTTATCTAGAACACACAAAATAAATAAATGAATATAGTTGTTTACCTGGGACAGTATTATAGGACCTCCTTGAGACTGAAACAGTTTTTCACTCTTCATCATTTCAACGATTTTCTTGGTGAACTTTTGCATTTGTTCCTTTTGTCACAAGAGAATTAGAAGGGGAAAAATCAAAATTCCAATGATGAAGACGGATAAATTCGAAATTCAAAAATCTACGCAAAAATTAGACTTCGAGCATAAATAACCTTGAACGGTTCATTATCGGTTCTGAAGTGGATACCAGGAACAAATTTCAACCAAACAGGAAATCCTCTGCACAAGAAAATACATACTTGAACAACCATTACTTTTTTTCCCTACTAAAACTAGATTTTTTTTTTAAAAAAAATTACTGAGTAAACAAAACTAACAACTACCCAAAATTCCACTCTGCACAAACGTAAGGTCCTATGCGGAGATTAACATAGAGGCCAACTCTTTGCACAGTCTTTATGAAGCTGACCAGATCATATCTCCCCTCAAAATTATACTGCATTGTCCACACACAAAAGATCATCAAAGTTTGGTGTCATCAAACAAGATGCATACGGATAGAATTTAGGACATGGTATGGAATCACTGGACTGGACCGTAAGACACTTGAGCTGAACCACATTAAAAGATTGAATCCAATGGAACAGTGCCTTAAGGATATGATGTCCAAGAACACATAAATAGACGAATTTTTTAAACAAGAAGAGAGGTCCAAGAACACTCACAGTGCCAGGTGAAGGCTCATGGACATTCCAGAACACATATGTGTCAATAACATCCAAGCCTCCATCTTTACCCTTTCTTATCAGATCTTCCCACATCTGCAACAGTACCCATAACTTTTTTTCTTTAACAATCTCTTCAATAGCTAACAATGAAGCAAATTTAGACTTCAAACATTCAGAATTTCAAGAAATATCAAATCTTTCAGATAAACATAAACCCCAGAAATCAAAGAGAAGGGTATAGTAGGAAATAAAGAGAGTGGGGGCACCTGAGGGGTACTTCTTGGATAATGTATAGAGCCAGAAATGAGTATTTTCCTTTGGCCATTGATGAGGATTGCCTTGCTGTCATAGGAGACATTAGTGGAGAAGATGAACTGGGCTCTCATTAATATGAAAACGCCAAGGAAGATGAAGAAGAAAGGGAGTTTGGAAACTGAGAAAGTCTCCATTTTTATTTTAAATTTTTTTTAGTATGTTCTTCTTTATGACAGTCTCCCCTCTAAATCTCTAACCAAACAGATCACTGAAAGTGAGAATGGGCAGTCAGCAATTCAACAAATGTCAGCAACAAATGTCACATATAGTCTGAGAATGTTTGGTTGGATTCTTTCTTCCCCACAAACTCCCAAATTCTCTGCCTTTTCTCAGTACTGCTGAGCTCATCTGAGATGATTTTATATAGAACCTGTGATGATGGGACCAAATATGTTTTTGGTGCAGGTGTTTTTTTTTAAATTAAAAAAAACAGTATGATTTTACAATAATGCCGTTTCAAGAAAGTAATGTTTTTAGAGCTTTACTCCGTAGTCCGTATTAAAATTTGTTGACGGGTTTAATGAGACGGTAAAAAGCAAATTGTGAAGTGTGAAAATTCAAGTTGACTAATGGGACTAATTTGTTGACACTAATTGTTGCTAATGGGAGGCATACTTACATTGAGTTTTAGAAATCTCAAAAACCACTTATTCACGAGATTATTTGACAAAAAATACAATATCCACGTAATTTATTCTTAACGAATGAATAATTATGTTATTTCGAGAAAATGGGGATAATGACTGATTAATATCATCATTGCAAAAAACAAGGTCATTTCAAGAATTACAAAATCATTACAAGAAAAATTAAACCGGCCATCCCAAGAACTTATTTATGAAAAGGAAATACTTCGTATTTGAGAAAGTGTTTGTAATTTTAATTATCACTGGATATTTTATATAATTGAGATTTACCTAGAATAGACGAGAATTTACCCCTTCTGAATTTCTTACAAGTACTAAACTTAGTAGCAATCTTTATTTTCCTAACGAAAGCGGATAATTTATTTCAATTTCAGTTAAATTAAATTTACTTCACTTAAATTGATTCGAACATATAGATGGATGAGTTTCGTCTTAATGATACCATTTATGACACTAATTTCAACGCCAATATTTTTTTACTTCGTATAAGTGATTTTGAGCAAGAGGCAAGAGTAGTGTCTAAGTAAAATTAGTAAAGAATTTCAAATGACACCAATTTGCCACCTGTATTTCACTAACAACTCTCATTATTGCATTAAGACGTTTTCGACAAATATTGCATGCTTTTCCCCAAATTAGACCTAACTTTTGACAATTGGAAATAAAGTACTCATTCGCCCATTTTATGAGTCTTCCCAAAGCAAGACTATAATTTTTTTTCAATTTGATTTTTTTATAAGAGTATTATTTAATTTAACAATAATCAATATGATTTACATATTCCAAAATCATAAATAATTCAATATTACAACTCAAAAGTAGAGACATAATACTCTTTTCTAATGTATTTGTTTAATTTAATTTTTTCAACTAAACTTTACAAATTTAATCATTACCGAAAATGATACCATGGCTCTAAAGATTGTCAGCAAATAATACTATTAGTTTCTTCCAATTCTTTCAAATTTCTTTCAACAATGACTAAAAAAGGTATTTACATTTGATGAATTTACAATAACATCATATATCTAAATTTACAACATACCGTCTGAAAAACAGACAAAGATGGATTTTCTATCTAAAAATAGTTTTCTTACACATTTATTTGGGTAATTCTTTAATTGAGTGATTTTTTTAATATTTTATTTTTCCAACACTTTTCATCTCCTTCTAGTTTTTTCTAATTTCTTCTAGCTTCTTCCACTTCTTCTAATTTCTTATATTTTTTTATTTTCTTTCAACATCCAACTCAGTTTTTACAACTCAAACGTACAAAGCCTTGATATACTCTATATTACTCCGTACTTTGTATATTTTTATAATTTTTTTCTAGTACATGTTTATTTCAAGAGATATTGTTACTCAATTAGTCAAATGTTCGATACAAAAAGTGAACAAACAATTAAAAACGAATGAAGAGGATAATGGTAAAAATACTTAAATAGAACTAAAACATGTTCGGCAAATCAAATTAGATTATTCAATTATTTCAATGTTTGTATTCAATGCCAAAACATAATGCAAAACAACATTGTGAATTGCTAACATACACATGACGAATATTTTGTAATTTTAGTACCATTAAATTTAGGAGATATTAAAATAGAAAGTCTTATTTTAGTACGTCTCGTTTAGAAAGGTCTCTTTAAAAAATAAAAAAACTCATACTCCGTAAAAAAATTCCATGAAACATTTATTTTTCCAAAAAAATTTATTTTAAATTAAAGTTTATAGTGCTAAATAGATTTAAAATTCACTAATCTACTTTTAACTAAGAGATTGTTCTTTAGAGCTTAAACTCTTAACTTCTAGTTTGTTCTAGTTTCTTCCAGTTTCTTTCAACTATTCTCATTTTCTTCAAACTTTTTCTTCTCCACCCAATTACTGTAAGAACGATATATTTTTAATATGAGGATTATTATTATTATTATTATTATTATTATTATTATTATTATTATTATTATTATTATTATTATTATTACAACTGTTATGTTCATAACTATAGTTTATAAATTATTTTTTTCATCTCACTATTTTTACGATTCACACTCATTACTTTTTCTTCAACTTTTTTAATATGAATAAAAAATTTTTTTGTATATTAATCTACATGATAAAACAAGAAAACATTAATATTTTAATGGGACGGTTCCCATGACATTGCGTTATGGGATGACCCGGCGGTACTCCAGTGCCCAATTCGTGAAATTAATTAACGGTTCCTACCCTCGTTTTCGCACTATTCAACTTTTTATTCTTCGGGTAGCAATGTTTTATAGTGTGTATTCTCCGTTACTCTATGTACTTTAGTAATACTGCAATGCTTTGTTCGACTTCCCAATGAGGTGTACCCGAGGATTCTCCGTTGTGCTACAATAACTAAAGGGCAATTTTTTTGTTTTTTGTGTTACTCAGATCCACCCTAATTTTATGAATCTTATTATATGAACATCATAGAACTACACAAGCACAACGCTAACTAAAGAACATTTTTTAAAAAAAAATCAAAAAAAAAATTCAATGTTTTTTGATTTCATAATTTCACTTGGTGACGTAGGGACGAAATATTAAGAAATAAATATGTAATCACACTCACTTCTCAATATGTCGTCCCAAACATCACCAAGAACAATTAGACATCAAAAAACAAACCAACGAATTCTTGGCGACTATGAGGTTTTTGCTATCCACATTTGAAGAAGAAAAAAATGATGTTAAAGAAACGGTGTGGGAAATAATAATATATCTATCCCAATGCAACTATATAAGTTTCAGTAGACATCTGTTGTTCATTTCAACACCAAGTCAACAGTTGATTTTATAGTAGGGGGTTAAGTTTCATTCAATGTCTACAGGTAATGCCTAATTATTACTGCTCTTTTGATTGGTACATTGATCTTCCTAGATGCACCTCTATTAATTTCACGTCTATCATTATTTTTTATCTTAATGAAACAAATAATTCTTTTTATTAATAAATAAATGAATTAAATAATAAAAATTATATTCCGGAATGCCACATCAGTGGGATGCATGGGGGACACTGCCCCCCTCGCTCGTGATTGGGATGGGTGGGTTTGCCACCCAGGTGATCGAAGTTTACTCTAGCTTTCTCCTCCAACATTTAGTTCTTTTTGTTTACTCATTAGTTTTACTTTTTAACTTTTCGTTTTTTAGTTTTTCTTAGTTTTCAGTTTTTAAATTTAATCCTGATGATGAATTTTTTGTTGAATGAACTTTAAATTTTATTATATATAGTTTTAAATTTAATATTAAATGAAATATTTATTTTATGTTTTTAGTTTAAGTAGTTTTATGTTACGTATGATGAAGAAGCTTATTCAATATATTATTATTAATAATAATTAATTATTATTATTGTTATTATGATTATTAGGAAGTATTATTATTATTTATGGTTAGTTAATTATTAGGTATTATTATTATTTGGTTGTTAATGAGTCTTTTATTTTAATTAGTTACCTTTTAGAGTTTAAGTGTTTTTGGGTTTTGGAATTATTCAAGCAATGAAGAAATAATTTCTCTTAATTTTAAATTCCATCTCAACTTCTTTGTTTCTTTCTTTTTCTCCCTTCATTCTTTCTTTAATCGTCTCTTCTCAAATCTCACAGCTTGAAGGTGTTTAATCATTCTCTATATCATTTTATTAAAATAGATGTGAACAAGAATGTAAAAAAAATGAAAAAGAAATGAAAAGAGAAGGGAACTAATGTAGCATTTAGTTGGCAAGAAGGAATGGAAGGGAACCACACCACCCAGCTTAATAACTGATTTGAATGTTAATTAGTGCGGGTACATTTAACGGAGTAATTGTCCTCTAAATTAGGTTGCACAATCACTCTGTTTGAAACATCTGGCTAAAAAAAAATTGGGTCTCGTATGTGGTATTATAAGGGTGCTTTGGAGTGTGGTAGATTGTTGAACTGTAGAAATTTTAAGTCAAAACGGAATGCAGATATTTTTAACTTTGCTAAAAAGCACTTCCGGAGCCCATTTTAGACTGCAAAAGTTATAATCTATAAACAGAAACAGATTGACAAACACGACAAATATTATTTTAGTGAAGTAAAAGTTCATAAGCAGTTCTTAAACACAGTCCTAAACACCCTCTAACTTTCTTACTTAATACACATGATATCTCTCCATTACGCAAATTTTTACGTGAACCTAAGGCCCATGTTCATTTTATGGAGCTTATAAAAATATTCACATGCAAATTTATGAAAAATGTAGGGTACCTTTGGTTTTTCTTTAATTACATAATGGATTTGCTGTAGAGAAGAAGAAGAATGCAATTGAGTGACTTTTGAATTAAGAAAGATTGCGTTGTAGTCCATAGAGAAACTCGTATCATTTTTACAGGCTGCATGTCACATGTGATTTGACATTTTATATTTGCGCTTTCTTGGGCCTTCATTTTTTGGTGTCAGGATTGATCTTGTACTTTTTGTCAATGAAGACTATTAAAACTTACTCAAATTGAGGAAGATTTCAGATGAATACCAAAAGGGATCTGAACAGGAAGTTAATCTTAAAAAGAGAAGGAAAATGTGAACCACATTAAACTTAACTCTATGACGACTCAAAACTTGGAAATAGCTCATGAGACTCTGCCTTTCAGTTATCTTGGAGCAACTATGGTAAAAGATAAGCTTAAGAAGCAT